CTCTCTCTCTCTCGCGCGCGCGCGCAACATTACCTGCTGCCCTTTGCCTTCCCTCGCAACCCCCCTATACCAGCGAGCGCCGCCCTTTGAGGGCGTTCGCCACGGCTACCTGGACCCCGTATACCTTTCCACCCCAGCCCTCGCCGCCATCGGCAAGCCTGGTCTGCCGTCATTGTATCTGTGCCGTGCTCTATTCTACACTCTGTCCCAGCCTAGGCTATCCTGGCCTCGTCCAGCCTATCCCCGCCCAGCCCAGGCGTTCCTGCCGACAAGCTGCCTTTGTCGTGCTCCCGATCTCCGCCCTTCTTTAGTGTACCTGTCTCCTTCGAGGGGATCCGCGCGGAATCCAAACCAAACTGTCGCGTCGCACCAGTCTGCGTCAGCGTTGCCTTCTTGGAGCTTGCCGCTGCCATTGAGAGAGGGAGAGGGGGGAATGGGGTGGGGCCGGAAAGCCTGCGCCGCTGTGGGGCTGCAGCCAGAGCGAGGGGCCGCAGCCCCAGGACCGAGGGCGTCCGTGCGCTTCGCTCCTGCGAGTCGCCTCCACACCCTCACTCAGCCGTCGACCGCAGACGCTTTCCTGCGCCACCACCACCACCACCACCACCACCATCATCATCGCCATCACCACCCTGCCACTCTCTCGACCCACAAAGTGATCCTGCTCGATAAGGATCCCCGCTATCCGCCGCCTGCCGACCTCGTCGCCGGTCCAGTCGCCGTGGCCCTGCGCATGACCCTCGACGATCTCTTGGTCCAGGCGTGACCGCCGGGTCTTCCAGCCAGGACTTGCACCCTCCCCCCTCCTCTCGATAGACGAAACGCAATAGAGCGCCTCTGAATAAGACACGGATGTCTTCGCGCCAGTACGCCCACCCCAGCATCGGCGGAAGCAGCAGCAGCAGTGGCCCTGGTGACGATCTCGACCGGCGCCAATCTAGAAACCCTCTCCGACAGCAGCAGCAGCAGCAGCAGCAGCAGCAGCCACCGCGATCAGGCAACACCATGAGCGGCTACCACCTTCGCTCCCGGGCTGGCGGCCTTCTCGCCTCGGGATCCAACTTCCTCGCCACCAGGGACTGGCAGGGCATGGCCAGTACGGTCAAGCAAAAGGTCGCCGATGCCGGTGCCTACACACAGCAGCAGTCACACCGGCAGTCCTTCCAGCAGGATCCAAGCGCCCGGCAGAGGAACGGTCCACGCAGGTCGATGAGCACCTCATCGACCGCCACGAACCCCGCCTTCCGGCCCACCCAGCCCAACGAAGGCCTAACGAGCCTCAACGCGCTCAAGCCGGGACAGGAGAACCCAGTCCTGCTGCCCGGATGGGCGCAGCGCAACGTCGCGCGCGACCGCCATCCGCAGAGCTGGTCGGCCCCCGACGCCCCCGAGGATCTCGAGGACGGCGAGATCGAGCTGCAGATCTCGATCGATGGCTTCGTCGCCAAGACGCTCGACGCCCCCACCCGCAGCCAGCGCCTCTTCAACCAGATGGCCCGACAGCTCGCTGCGCTGCCTCGCCTGCCCTCGACCGCCCTCGATAGCCAGATGTGGGACAGCAGCACCACGCTGACCGAAGAGCCGCAAGATTTGGCCGCAGGCACCTCATCAACCCCACAGCAGCAGCAGCAGCAGCAGCCGTCGCCGTCGCGCGAAGATGAGCCGGCGAGTTTCAGGGACAAGGCCATCAGCAAGCTAATGGAGGGCGCCGACGAGGAGACGCTCGTCAGGCTCATGGAGAACCTGGGCGCATTCCCCACCGAAGTTTCGAGCGCCGAGGCCGCCTCGAAGCTTGAAGGCAGGACGCTCCACGGACCACACTCGCAGCGCAAGGACACGGCAGACGCGGCGGCAGCCAAGCCGTCGTCGACCGCCTCCGCCGCCGCCAGCAGCAGCAGTCAACTCGATGTACCCGGCGGCTTCAGCAGGCCGAGCCGGCAGAACACGGCGTCGTCGACGTCGTCGAGCGCCAGCACGCTCGGCGGCTCGCTCTTCTGGGCGGACCGCACCGCCGAGGAGCTGCACCGCCTCCACCGCAACCTGGGAGAGCGCCTCCGCGCCTACTGGATCTACCGCTCCACGCACAAGGACGTCAACATCGAGATCTCTCCCGTCGTCCGCGGCGAGGCGCTGCGGTCCTCTGGAGGCGAGCGGGTGCTGCTGGCGGCAACGCGCCTGACGACCGACTCGACGGGCCAGTTCTCGCACCGCCTGGTGGTACCGTGGCACATGATCTCGGGCTTCTGCAGCTTCCACTCGTCGGTCGCGCCGCGCGACATTGACGGGGTCGAGATCCGCGCCGTGCTGCCGTCGCCGTCGCCGTCGCGGATCTTGGAGCCGGGGACGGGGGCGCCGACGGGCAACGACGACGACGACACGCGGGCGACGCCGTGGCTGCGCTACCCGCTCACAGAGGACGGCCACCGCAAGGTTCGCGTCATCTCGGACATCGACGACACGGTCAAGCAGACCGGGGTGCTGCTGGGCACCAAGCGGATCCTGCGCAACGTATTTGTGCTGCCTTTTGAGGAGGTCGAGGTGCCGGGCGTGGCGGCGTGGTACCAGTCAATGGTGTCGATGGGCGTGGGGCTGCACTACGTGACCAACGCCCCGCTGGAGCTGCACCGGCTGGTGAGCGACTTTTTCGCCGCCGTCAAGCTGCCGTTCGGCCACCTGACGCTCAAGCACTACCCGAGCGGGACGCGCAGCCTGCTGGCGAGCTGGCTCGAGCCGGCGGGCGAGCGGAAGCGGGCCAACGTCGTCAAGATCCTCGACGAGTTCCGCCAGTCGCAGTTTATCCTCATCGGCGACTCGGGCGAGCTGGACCTCGAGCTGTATACGGCGCTCGCCGCCGAACGCCCAGGCCAGGTGCGCGCCATCTTTATCCGCGACGTCAGCTCGCCGCGGCCGGGCGACGCCAGAAGTCCGACGTCGACTGCGGTGCCGCCGCTGTCGTCGTCTTCGGCGTTTGGTGCGGGGCTGCCGGCGACTGGCTCTGACGCTGACGCTGTCGGTGGAGCGGGGAGCGGGGGAGCAGGTGAGACGCTCTCCAAGCCTCCGGCGGCCGCACTGCCGCCGTTGCAGGATGGCGTCGAGCCTGCGCTGGCGGGATCCGCTGGCGGCGGTGTCGGCGAGGGAGCGAATGGCGACCTGAGCTTTTTCCAGCCGTCGTATCCTCCGTTGGACCCCTCGGCGGCAGCAGCAGCGGCGTCGTCGGCATCGTCGTCGTCGTTGCCGCTGTCGTATCCGGCATTGGCGTCGAAGCCGGGCGGACTGAGCGATGCGGACCTGAAGCGCAAGCAGGCGTTCCAGTCGCGGCTGCTGCGGGCCACGTCGAAGCTGCCGCGCACCACCGTCTTCCGGCTCTTCTACGAGGGCGGCGACGTCGAGTCCGAGGCGCTGCGGCTGGTCCGCGAGCTCCAGAGCGGCACCCGGCCCGCCGACAGGTAGCGCAGCCGGTGATGGGGGCAGAGAGTTGTCGAGAGTGGCGGGACGGGTGGGCAGGGGGTAGATACATAGATAGATGCGGGCGTGACGCGGGTTGACGCGCAGTCGTGGTCTCATTCAATATGTGGCGCGTTATATTGTTGGCCTCGTTTCGATGACGGGCGCTAGGCTCGCTTGCGGCGGCTTTGCCCCTCGGTCACCGCATGGCCTGGCCAGGCCGCGCGGAGAAATTCGAGCACCGTGCGCCCGCCCAAATTTCCGGGGTGGCAGCCACCCACCACCAGCAGCAGGCGGGCAGAGGGGCAGGCAGGCAGGCGGGCAGGGCAGCTTGGCAAGGCTGTGTGGCTGCGTCGCCGGGCAGCCAGAGAAGAGAGAACAAGGCAGGGCAGGGCAGGGCAGGCAGGGGAAAAATCGATCGAGGGGACCAAGCGCATGCTGCACGCTTTCCACCTGGGCGTCCTCGCCTGGCCTGGCCTGGCCACCTGCCTCACCACCGTCCTTCGCTCTTGACCACCACCACCACCACCACCTCAAGCTGGCCAGCCAACCCACCGCCCTTTGTCTCTGGCCCGCACTTACCTTGTTCCCGTCGGTCGGTTCTCCCCTTGCGCATCGTCGTACTAGACGGGGGAATACGTCTGCCATCTGCCTGGCGCAGATCGGCCCCGCCTGGACCTTCGCTCGCACGCCTTTCGCACTCGCACCGACTCAAGCACCATAGACCAACCGGCGCCTTTTGCATCCACTCACCGCCAGTTCCGATCCCTGTCCTCGCATCGTCCGCAGCGGTCTCGCCCTCTGCGTCCGCCATCGCTCGGCCACCACCCGGCCACCGCCGCCCAGCATGGACCCGTCCAAGTCTCACGAGTCCTTCTCCGACGCCCTCCGCGCCACCGCATCGCCGCCCTACGAAATGCCCACGGAAGGCCTGCCCCCCATCTACGCCAGCCGCACCAACCTCGCCAGGCTCGAGGGCGCCAGCACCAGCGACGTCAACCTCGACGCCAAGGGCAAGCGTGCCTCGCCCACCAGCGCCGCCGCCGATGCCGACCTCGCCGCCGGCTCCAGCGAGCCCATCTCACTCTCGCGCTCCAGCACCGGCCCCAACCGTATCAACATCTCGGACCCGCTCGCCGACTTCCGCGCCCGCAACCTCGAAAAGCCAGAGGGCCTCGGCGACAACTCCGACTACCCTCCACGCGAGACCAACCGCCTCCCCAGCGGAGGCAGCGGAGGTCCTGGAGGAGCGGGGGCCGGTGCGGGTGCGGGCGCAGGCGCGGGTCGTCCACCCACGGCTCCCTTTGGCCGCCCGCAGCTCATCCGCCGCGACAGCGACATGTCGAGCGAGGGCGACCAGGACTACGACGACTTTGACTGGAGCGACGAGGAGGACGTCGAGGAGGCCGCCCGCTTCGAGCGCGAGCAGGCAAAGGCGGTTCGCATGGGCCGCCTGAGCGTATGGAAGATCGTTCGCTTCCTTGCCACCACCTTTGTCGGCAACCTCATCGTCTCGCTCATCCTCATCGTCCCCGCCATCGTCATCCAGTTTGTCTACCGCCCGCAGGGCGCCAGCTCCGACGCCGACGCCGCGCACCGCGACTATGTCGCCGACAATGTCCAGGCGTGGTTTATCTGGGCTGCCTTCAACCTCCACGTCGAGTGGTGGCTCCACATCTTTGTCGAGCTCTTTCCGACGTTCGTGCTCGGCGTCATCCGCCTGATCTGGGGCAGGCCCAGCCAGAGGGTGCTCAGCCTCGCCGAATACTTCAACGCCATCAAGGGCTACATCAAGCCCGTCTTCTACGCCGCCCTGAGCTGGGGCTCGTGGGCCATCATCTTCACCAGCATCTACGGCCTCTACAACCGCAGCGACCCGCAGAACGGCCGCGCCGCTTACCTCTACCGCATCTACCAGATCATCGAGTTCGCCTTCTTCTTCATCCTGGTCATCTGCGCCGAAAAGATCATCATCAAGTACATCGCCATGTCCTTCCACCGTAGCGCCTATGCCGAGCGCATCGCCAAGGTGACCAAGTCGCTCAAGGTCTTCGACTACCTCCGCGACCACAAGCCCAAGCACAAGGGACGCGACAACAACTCGACCTTTGGCATCCCTGCCCGGCCCACCAACCGCGGCTCGCCCACCGTCAGCGGCGCCGCCACGCCCGTGTTGCCCACTGAGTTCGGCAACGGCAGCGGCAACGTCACCGACAGCGAAGGCGCGGCGCACCGGCCCGGCAGCGGCGGCGGCGGATCCGGCACCTCGACGCCCAAGCACAGCTGGCTCAAGAAGCACAGCAAGAAGCGGCCCGTCCAGGGCTCGCTCGGTGGCGGCGCCACCATCTCGGCGGCGCTGCCGATCCCCGCTGCGGGGGAGGCGCCGGCCCGCGGCGATGGACGCTCGCGGATCATTGCGCGCGCCACGCGCGGAGGGCGCTCGATCAAGACGACGGCGTCGCAGGCGAGCACGCTCGCGCGCGTCGCCATGAACGACCCCTTTGGCCTGCTCAACAACGAGACGCTGGGCGTTGGCACCGACGTCAACAGCCCGAGCGAGGCCAAGCGGCTGGCGCGCGGCATCTTCCTTGCCTACCGCGGCTCGCACAAGCGCAGCTACCTGATCCCCTCGGACTTCAACGTGGCGTACAAAGACCCGGAGGCGGCCAAGGATGCCTTCGCCGTGTTTGACCGCGACGGCAACGGCGACATTTCCCAGACCGAGATCAAGAACACGGTGCTGCAGGTGTACAAGGAGCGCCGCTTCCTCAGCCGCTCGATGCACGACGTCAACCACGCCGTGGGCCAGCTCGACGCCATCATGCTCGTGCTCGCCTTTGTCGTCATCCTCTTCATCGCGCTCGCCATCTTCAACGTCGACATCTCGAAGCTGATCTCGACCGTCTACTCGCTGGCCATCGCCTTTGCCTTTATCTTCAAGTCGTCGGCCGCCAACGTGTTTGACTCGATCATCTTCATCTTTGTCACGCACCCCTTCGACACGGGCGACCGCATCTCGATTGACGGCTCCGTGTTTGTGGTCAAGAAGATGTCGCTGCTGTCGTGCCTGTTTGTCAGCGACCTCAACCAGGACGTCTACATCGCCAACACGATCCTCGCCGCCACCAGCATCGTCAACATGCGCCGCTCGGGCTACATGTGGGAGAGCATCGCCGCCCAGTTTGCCTACGACACGCCCCTCGAGAAGCTCGACGCCGTCGAGGCCGACATGATCCACTGGCTGCAGACTGAGCCCGAGCGGCTCTTTGTGCCGAGCACCGCCATTGTGCCGCAGTCGATCGACTACATGAACTCGTTTGAGTGCACCATCGGCATGACGCACGCCGACAACTGGCAGGACTGGGGCCGCCGCTTCTACCGCAAGAATGCCTTTTTCGCCGCCTTCTGCTTCTACTGCAAGAAGCACGGCATCCGCTACGCCAACTCGGTGCAGCCGGTCGTCTACTGGACCGACGACGCGGCGCAGCTGCCGCCCAGCTACGACGGCAACGGCGGCGACGATGGCGAGGAGGACGGCCGCCAGGGCCTGGCGCCGGGCGACG